GTAGCTCGCAGGGTCACTGAGGCGCGCAAACCATCACACCACGTCAAGGTGCAGTCTCGTTGTGATGGCAAAAACATAGGGATAAATAATGACCACGGGTATCGAGATAAAGAAAAAAGCTGGAGTCCCAATGGAGGAGAAAGTGATGCGGAATGGGGAACACCGAAGTTAAAAATGAATAATTCAAAGCAGAATCATCGGCAACAACGTAGTGGATTCGACGGGCCGGAATGGGCTAACTGAATGATAAAATAAATGGGTGAAGTAAGATAAGAAACGGGGGGTGAGGACTAGAATCCAACAAAAACGCTTTCCGTAAAACCACCATCAAACAGAACTGAGGTTGAACGAATACTTGGAAGCCACGCATTCATTGGATGGAGTATGCACAGAGCACAAAATCTGCAAAGTTTCGCCGATTAACCGGCCTACCGGACTCAGATGAATTCTAATGATATTTCAACAATGAAGGGAACCTAGGTGAAATGCGTCCGTCGCCAGTAGAAATGCGACGGTAGTGTTCTTTTGTGACGGAACGAGGTGAGGGAGATGGATTATAAGAAACGTCTCGTTTAGGATGAGACAGGATGGAACCAGTTTCACAGTAACCACGAGACAACACGCGTAAGAGATTGAGGGAGAAAAAGGACAGAAAAAGTAGTAATGAGTACGGTGCGTCAGGTATACTGTAGTTCATATTGTTCAATCGGATCTAGTGAGCACAGTGCTATCGGCATACTTTTCACTGTAGTTTTGACACTAACTATTGAGCTGAGAAGTGTAGTGTACAAGATAAAAGCAATGGATAGATAAGTGACAAATGATGGCGGAGGCCAGCAATTCAGCTATCACGGGACGAATACCAAACAATGGCTTGTCAAGAACTAGTGACTACCAAAAAGCCAGTTTACGGGGCTCTAAATAAAAACTACGCTTGAATTCCTCAGGTAGACTCCAACTGCGGAAGGATTTTGTTTTCACTTAGACTACGTGAAGACGTCCTTTTGTGAGGCGATTCCCATCTTTATTACTAAACATAATTGTGTGAAGAACAGTAGACGGGATGGACCCCATAGTCACAAAGACCTGTTGTTCATTGACATAAACCCGTAAACCAAGCCCCGGGACCTGGAGCGGCGAACCGGTATTGAACTGGAAGATAACAAAGCTGCCTACCACCAAAGTTGGGTGATGGTGGCACTGCTCGAACCTCGGACCACAGGGTCTAAAGCACGCCGGTGACAGTGTACAAACTACCGCGCCACCTCCACCCCGAAGCACACCTGGGCTGGGAGTCAAACTCGGGTCGCTTGGGTGAGCGCCAGTAATCCTACCCGCTCGACCATGCGGAACATGAAGAAAACTGTGGCCTCACCTTGAAGAACTACCGGCAGAATGAATTGGATAGGTAAGTTGAGATGGTATATTTACGATTTCGATACCATTTAGTAAACTTGCGAAAAAGAAGTTATTTCGAGGCCACACCAGGAGGGAGAGAGACTGAAGAAATAGGACAGGGTATCGATGAGATGTTGACTGTATGCTTTCCAAAAGCGCACGAGGAGCAAGGAGAGAAACGTAAACAAAGGAGGTGGGTTGTTCGAGATTACGTAAAGCTTTCCGTTAGTTAACTCGAGGACATTAGTTGAGTATGCTTTCCAGTCACTGCGACAAGTTTGTCATCAAAACAGATAGTTTGTGCGCTAGAATGGAAACGTAAAACAAAGTCAATGTACAACGAAAAAATTAGACGCCGAACAATCAGTACGGTTGAGGGTACAAACAGAAAACCAGTTATTTATAAAGTTGCGTATTCAAAAACACCAATATTAAAGAAAGAGAATGTAATGGAAAACGTAGTTGGATAGACTTCTTGTTTGGGGCGAGAGAGACAGATGTAGAGACAAGAAATCTCAGGACAGTGATGTAGAAAAAAGAATAACCTCAGTTAAATCAATTGTTAAAGCTGGCTATCAACGCGTGTGAGAATTATGGGGTTCTCGAATGCGTGCGGGGAGGAATCGACGAACTAAGGCTAGTGATTTGGGATGGCGAACCACAGAAAGCCCAAACACAGGGTTGGACTGGTACCATCCAGTGAATCAGAACTCTCTGACACATTGGAATGCACCAAACACTGTGGAGTTTATCAGCGACCCTCTAAATTTTACTTCTTATTGAATGAAGTAGGAAGAAAGTAAATTGCCATTTTGAGATGTCATTTAAGATGTACAGACACGGACGAAGAGCGAGGTTGCATCGGAGACAACGATCGAAACTGTCATAAAACTTAGCATAACTGCGGAACAACTATTTAGGAAAAGTTGCAAAAGGAGATGAATTGAACAATTAGTTGGATAGCTGTGCAGGAATAATGCTGATCAGCCGGACCCTCTTCTGAGCAGTTCATTTAGTTGAGAAAACACGAACCGTGACGGGAAGGAGTGGCAACAAATAAACCACATAGAGCCCAAACTATGCGGAAATAAAAGGCTTACCTGAGCCGCACGCAGTTCGTTTGGCATGTCCTTTTCGGCTCGAATATCCTGAAAAGAGGTTTGCATAGATGAAATTTGTAGTCAGCCATGTGCAGCAATGTAATCCGAGCATACATATGACGATTTTGGAGTAAAGAGTAGGGCATCAACACTCGATATGTGACCAAAAGCGGACAGACACACAGCGGAGAAGTTCATTAAATAAAAAAACACCGGCTTGTTTTATACGAATAGGCCAAGGACCTTGCTCATCTCAGAGTTGACGGTTCAATTACACTTAATAAAATGAAATAGATTACTTGGAGAATATCAAATCTACAAGCTACACGCATTCTAAAATCTCAGTCGCGCCGACAGCAGAGCAGAATCGAGACAACATGGTGTAAAACCGGCCTCTTCAGAGGACTGCTCCAGGGTCTTGTTACCAGTGTAATAACAACATTAAGCGCTAGTAATAAGATCCAGGTTATTTTGATAGACACATTTTAGGAAGTATTCATATTTTCTTTTTGTCTGTTGGCTTGAACCGATCTGTTGTAACCAGAACGCACTTTATTTAATCAATTCCTTTGGAGGAGGGGAGAATTATTTTTTATGTCAAATGTACAAAATCAAGAAATGGGATAGGAGAATTGCAATCGACTAACGAATCAGAGTAACGGTGGAATGGGAGCTTTTCGTGTAAACGGATATCAATAAACTAGGCAATAGTGAGAGTTCGAATATGTATTTATTCGAACATATACCAGACAGCTTGACAACCATGTAGAGAAATCCGAACTTCATGTAACACCTTTCCTGCTGGCGTGTTACGGTCAACACGGCCAACGCTCTTTGTCAAGAAACACACACAACCACGGATGTGTTTGACTGAACATTTTAGTTGACGGTTGATAAACCCTTGAAGATTACTGGCCATCGAAATGCATTATATTTCGATCTGAGCTGTGATCCAGTGCACCACACCTAACCTATCGGGGGTTTTTGTGGTTCACCACTCCAAATCTCGGGGCTTAAGGTTACCGGTTCCCATCACTGAACGGCAGGTCCTCGTAACTATGGGGTTCGCCTCGTCTGCTGTTCATTACACTTAGGTGCGTAATAAAAAACCTTTCTTGCAAAATTGTATCTGTTTTCGTTGTCAATATCACTGACACTGTTCACAATTGAAGTAGGAAACTCACTGCGATCCGTAACAATAATACGAACTCATATAAGGTAGTGTATTCAATTGTCTATATTAGCTTCCGGCGCATGGCTACTCGAGCCAATCTTCCACCCTCTACAAATTATTCGAAGTTAAACAACGAATAAGCATGTAACACGTTCATCCTGTTTAACGGAAACGGCTTCAGGAATAGATAAGTATGGTTTTGCGTTTTCAGAAACCAATCTCTCGATAAGACGCACGTCTGCAGATGGGTCTCATTTTATTCACTTGATGTTTTACAACGTTCCGGACCGATGCGCTTTATTAGCCGATTAGCTATATAAGCTCTATAAGTGAGTTGACCGGACCGAATGATAAAATACTACAGATGAAAGCTACAAGAGGAGAGAAGAAAAAATGCTAAACGATCTCCAAGCAGTATGAAGTTCTTTTCATTGCAAGATCGCTGAAAGCACACCTGGATTCAACAACGACCACAACAACAGTATGCCTTCATTTGACGGAGGCGTTTTGGCACCAAAGTGAAACAGAAAAGCTGAAACTAAGTTGATGAAACCCTGGCGGTTTGCCTACAGGTATTCACTGAAAATCCCGATTCAAAACAAACAAGAAGTGTGCAAAGCACACACTTTCCCAGTCGTGACAATGGTCACCGACTCAACTGGACTTCGAAGTGTGTTAGCCACTTTGAACGTTTGACTTCGGCCCCTAATGGATGATGGTTTTCAAACACCTCCTCGCTGCCTTGAGGGATAGGCATTGGCTAAACGACGGCTTTATTTGAAAAACCCATAAGAAAATTCACTTGTTTTAACTTGGGCAATCGGGTAGTATTCTTCCCACTATAATACCATGGGTTTGCTTTTTTTGTTATACAGATTATTGAACCGTGATTTGTTTGGCACACAGTCTGCGACTAGAAGATATCAATCGACTAGGAGTTTTCGATTATCGGTGTTTACGTAGTTTAGCCCACGTGGGATGGAGCGAACGGGTTAGTAATCTGAAGGTAAGACGTCGTGTTTGGAGGTCTATCAGGTATAAACCTGCTGGCACATCAAATTAAGATTAGTAAACTTCGCTGCCTAGAGCACGTATTGTGTATGCCCAGCTACCGACTACCGCATCGCGTCTTATTCACTGTAGCCACTTCGGGCTGGAGGGAACCACGAGGAAGCCAACAGATGACGTGGAGACGAGGCATGAAGAAATGCACAGAGCGATTAGGTAGAGTAGATGTCTCTCATCTTCCGGGTTGGGGTTCAAAAGATTCCCAAACCGCACGGTTGGAGACACTGAAGGTCATGACTGCGAACTGACAGTAGTGGCTTTCTTGTTGTCATTTCTTATCAGGTCAGAAGGCTTGAAACGGTATGCATGCAGGGTTCGATTGTGCACTCTGTGTGTTGACCTTAGAAGTTCACTTTCTTCTCCCTCCCTCAAAGTAGGTCCAACCCCTGTGCACCTTAAATTTTACCACTAACGTTGTAAGCATTGCGAGTTTGGCTGCGATCAGTGAAGTTCACATCAGTGTATTTCGCTGTACTATGACGACTGGACTTAGACGAGTGTGGAATAGTAATAATAATAATAATAATAATAATAATAATAATAATAATAATATCAGTACGAAAAGATAGTTAGGTTTTAAAAGGAAAAAAAGTTGATCCTCAAACATGAACGGCAAGATCACATACCTGATAACTCTCTCTCAACGATTCGAAGCTCTTTCGTAGCTCACCGAAACGTGTCGAAATGTCTATCAAAAATCCGGTAGCTTGACACAAGTGCTTAAAATGGATAAAGAGAGACAAAAGAAGACAGATGTCATTTGGTTTCCCTGGAACAATAAAATTATGCCAAACAATAACCGGTGTTTTACTTACTGCACGTTTTGTTATATCCGTCAGACGTTCTACCATTTTTTGAAAACGTACTGTATCTTCAATAAGATCGTCCAATTTTGCACATTGCGTCTAAACAGAAAAAACAGATTGAGAAATAACTCAAATCCTCGGAAAATGAGCAACAAAAAGGTAACACAGTTGTGTCTCATCCGCAAAAAAACTTACACTGAATTGATAAAGCCAGAACATGGCGGTCAATTCACTTGTCTCAATAGCTTTGGGATCTATCTGGTTGTTAGTCTCGTTTGACTCTGTGGTTTGTTCCGGTTTTTCCATAGCTTCCAATGAGTTTGCATTCTCACTTGGCCTGACTACATCCGCATGATCTCCATCAGCTGTCGTCGCAGCAGCCGAAGAGATCAGACTTTGAAATTGAGACAACAGATCGGCAGCCGATGCCTTCACCGGGGTGTCGGAATCGTTTGAAGAGCCGGCACGATTAGCCGCAGCAGCCAATGAATTCTAGTAAATGTCCAAGCGGAGAGAAAAAGCCGCGTAGCAGAATACAACTTTGCACTATGATCAAAACAGAACTAACGCAACATATGTGAATCGAGCTTCTACGGCCTATGTTCCACTCATGGTGTTCAACAATTAAGGATCGACGTGTGTGTGAAAGAGAAAAACAGGAAATGGGTCTACTAGATACGAATATGCAAAAGAAAACAATAGGAATTAATTCGGGAGACTGCGTGCGTATCTGTTTCAGCCTAGATTTTATGGAAGTTAGACGGGATTTCTAATGCGCTTGTTGTGGACGACAAACCTTGAAACATTGGGTCCGCTTTATTCAATTCGCTGGAACCTACTTGTACTTACTCACACCGAGATAACTCATTCATGTCGTTTTTACTACAAACCCTTGTGTGATAAACAACAAACGGGGTAAAAACCATAGTCGTAAAGAGTTGCTGTTTAGGGATGAAAACCGGCACCCTGTACCCCGGGACTAAGAGTGGCGAACCACGCTATTTTAAGCGTGGTATTGTACCGGACAACAGCGAAACTGTCTGAAGAAATTCGCATATTTCTTCATGAAAAGAGTACAGCCGTCAGTCGCACCACTACTTGCAATGGCCAAGATAACGGACAGGTAGAACGTTAGAATGATACGATTTGGGGACACAATAATTCTGGTTCTAAAGCCTCAAAGTCTGGAAATTCAGCATCCTTGAACAACGAAATACAGAGAACTGGGCTTCGCTGATCACTGTCAAGCACTCAATGCACAAGATGGATAGGGTTTTGGCCTAATTGGAGGAATCAGCGAAAGTGCACTTCTATGATCAACGCATAGAGTGCACAATCAAATTGTGCATTCTGAACAGATAAGAAATGACAAGAACGCCACTGTTACCAGTTCCCTGCCATATTCTCCAGCTTATCCAACCAAACAGTTAGTCTTTAGGACCCCAGCCTGGAAGACGGGAGATACCAATTCTACCTAATCGCTTTGCGCATTTCTTTATGCTTCGCTTCTACGTCATCTGTTGACCTCGATGTGATTTCCTCCAATCTGGTTCCGCAACTGCGAATAAGATGACGTAGACAACAACTGGGCATGCGCAATACGTGTCCTAACCAGCAAAGCGTATTGACTTGAATTCTACGTGATAACGAAATTTCCATCCACCAAATACGCGACGGCTTATCTCAGAGTTGCTTACACGCCCACTCTATCCAACCAGCGCCAAACTACGCAAACAACGGCAGTCGCAACCGTAAAGCAGAACTAACCACATCCTGATGCTGTACACGCAACCTTTAAGTTTCAACGAAACATCTAGTCTGCACCAAAGGTGATTCAGTTCATTCTGTTGCTTTCGTCTTAGACAATGGCGCTGATACCACTCGTTTAACTTTTCTTGACTATACAAACGCTTTTGGTTCTCTCGACCAAAGTGTGCTTATTGATCGTCTTTCTGAGTGTGGTCTAACTCCTGAAGTCTTGAATATACTAATCAAATACTTCTCCCGTAGGATTCAGTTTACTTCACTCAATGGTGTACAATCTTCTTCTATTAACATTGAGGCCGGTGTTTTTCAGGGTGCCATTTTGTCCCCTTTCTTGTTTTCCATGTATATACAAAATCTGCCCATCCCCACCCACTTTATTGTTTGTAAGTATGCTGATGATATTGTGATTGGTTGCCCAGCCCCTATTTCAGACAGTTTTCGACCTCTCCAGGACAGTCTTAATGAACTTCGCGATTGGTCCATGACCCGATCCCCTAAACTTAACGTCAGTAAGTGCATCGAAGTTTCACTTAGTCTTAAAACCGGTCCCGTTATTTTTCATTAGTTGATATCGAAACAGAGTAATTCCTTACATAGCTCGTTTACTAGTAAATCGTCAGCGTATCCTCACCCACCTCAGGGAAAAACTCTTGTCCTAATTTTTTCCCTCATGTATCAAAGTGCAGAATTTCTCATACTATATTTTTTTTTACAATTATTTTACCTATCCACTATAAAACTCGTAAACTGCTGAAAATTCAACTTTTGGGTGCATAAAGCTTTTTTTGACTTGACTTGAGTCTTGTGTATGCTTCTCGTGTCTTGGAAATGCTAGTGGTTATTTCCTTGACTACGCTACGGTCATTTGTCATGCAACCACCTGAGTGGGATAAACAGTTCAGCATCGCTAATTCTTGACCATTAGGCATCAGAATGAGGGTAGACGATATCCAATCTTGTAGCATTACTTTGTAATTTGAAGTTGCCAAGGGCATACCGTACAGAGTGACAAAGCTTGGAAGTCTGCCAAGAGCGCTTTGCGTACCCTCCATACATTTGGACACACCAACGATGTCGTCAGCGTACTCCAAATCGCACAGCTTTCCTGCAGCTGCCCATTCAATACTAACATTTTGGAAACCAAGTGCATTTTTCAGTATTTCGTCTACGACGAAATTGAACAGGAATGGAGAAACAGGGCATCCTTGTCGAACACCGCTCCTGGTTTCGAGCGATTTGCTTAGCTAACCGTATACCTTTACGTTACCAGAAGTATGTAGGTACAGCGACCGCAATAGGTTTACAAACTTTGGCTGCATTCCCTTGCGAAACGGTGAACCCACTACAGATTTACGATAAACTGAATCAAAAGCTCCTTTCGGATTGAGGAACACTGCGATTGTTGGAGGACAATGTGTGTGGCACGATTCGAGGACTTGACGCAAAGTGATGATGTGGGTCTAGGCAACCGAGACCTGGTCGGAACCCTGCTTGCTGTTCGCGAGCATTCACCTCCCTTCAGGGTATCAGGCGGCGAAGAATCACAGAAGTTAACACTTTTGTGACGTTCGGAACTAAACTTATCTCGCAGTGGTTCACGTAGTCGTCACGCTACTGGGACGATCAACGATTCACCAAAAGATAAATCAATACGCCCCTCCGAACAGATGTAGTGGAGTAAGCCAGTAATCGAGTCGACGAGAGTCACCAACCAGCTTGAAGAAATAGGCAGAAGCCCAACAGATCCATTGTCCTTTCCTTTCTTTAAAAATTGAATACAGCTTTGTAATTCTACTCTTATTGGAAGCTGGCATGTTACCACCCATGGAGTTTCCGCTACAATCGCCGGAATAACCGCATTAGCACCAGGCCAATGGAACTGTTCACTAAAATGCTGCTAGCGATCAACTCATTCTTTATCGTGGATACTCTATCCACTTTTATCGAAAATGGTCTCACCAATCGGTTCCTTTTATTACAACCAGAGTGTGATAAACAGCAGACGGGGCGGACCCCATCGTCAAGAGGACCTGATCAGTGATGGTAACCGGTATCCTGATCCCCGGGACTTGGAGTGGCGAACCACATAGGTAGGCGACGATCTCCGGTACTGCATCTTAGGTGAAACAGTCTTCGGCTATTCTCTGATATAGAAGCCATATCCATTTCAATAGCTATTTTGGCCCACCGGTTTTGGCGATCTTTCTGAGCCATCGGGGCAGAGGCCGCCCAGTCACGTGTTGATCCTGCGTGATACTGATCTTTTGTTTTGGTTCCATCAGGATTGCTGACTCCTGATAAATGTGTCTTCGCCGAACTTCCGGCTGGGCCCAACAAGCAAGTTTTATTGTCGAATGCATTGCACACCTGACTTGATCCCACTGTTTATCTACTCCACAAACTGGCGGTGCTATTAGCTCCTGACCCAGCTTCTCCTCACAACGTGTACAAACAGATGGATCGCGCATACGATGAGCCAACTGAGGAAGTGATTTTAACGATGACCGATGAGTCGAAGCGTGATGCACATCTGAACTAATGTGTGGTCAGACTCGAAGCAGGTTGTCCAATAGGATCTGCGATTCTATGTTGAACCACGCCAATGGTAACTTACAGCCATGTGGTTACTTTGGGTCAGCCTACTCACTGAACTAGAACACCATTTTACCGTCTGACAGAACTGACACTATCCTTGGTCAAGGACAGAGCTGTTTCCAGAATCAAACCTATAACGAAGTTAAGAAGAGGAGGGCAGCCCTGACGAACACCGATTCCCATGTTGAACTCCAGCGAAAAAGTGCCGTAAGTTCGAACTCGGCTTCGGCTATTTGTGTAAAGGGACTCATTAAATCTTAAACTGATTGGTTGGAGACTGTGGAGGAAATGGCGGAGAACTGACAGCAGTGGCGTTCTTGACATTTTTATCCACGCAGAATGCTTGAAAACGTACGTATGTGTGGTCAGATCGTGTTTTGTGTTCATCATATACGTTCATTTTCTTTCTTTCCCCCTCCCTACAACTAGGCCTAATCCCCGACCAACTTACATATTCTCACAACTCAGTTGGAACCTGTTCACTTTCCCATAATGAACCCAGGAGTTTCGTCGATTCCAAAACCAAGGCTGAGCCCGCATACTTAAAAGCCGAAAGGGTCAGCTTATCCGGGATTTACACCTTTGAAATGTTATTTTCCGGGAAAATCTCCACTTCAGATAGATGTCTTCTACCAACTGGGAGAATTTCCCTAGTTAGTGGGTGTTTATAGGTCTTATATCAATGGGGGTTAGTTGAACTCAGCCTCAAAACAGCGTTGCCAAGTATGATTCAGTGTGCCAACGGATTCCTTAGGCACTTCATGTCCACTTTCCTTGAGCCCGTCCATCGAATCAACTGGAAAAGATTGCGAATACTACCGATATCCACTGTCTTTTGCATCTGTTTACAAGTGCCTACCCACCACTTTTCTCAGTCATTCTTCAGGTTCTCGGTGAGCTGGCGTCTGAGGGATTTGTGTGCTGTTTTATATTTGCCATCTGAAGGAATGGTTGTGTGCGTCTAAAAAAGCAGCAGAGTTCGAAGAGATTCATTGTTTGCACTTTGTTTGTGTGCTGCCGTTTTTTTATTCGACATTGGAAAGCTTTTCTGATTACCGTCCAGAGTTCAGTGAGTCCTTCGGTTGGTGATTGATCTGCGAGGCGAAGAAAGCCAAGTTGCTACTGTTACT